CGATTAATCGCATCCAAAATAAAAGTTTTTGTTTACATAATATATGAGTGTGTGCTGTGTATATTTATTATGTATATATAAATACACACACACACATGCATATATATATTTAAGAAATTTTTGTATGTTTATATATTAAAGATATTTATATATAATATAAATTATAATAGGGCTGTCAAACGATTAATCGCATCCAAAATAAAAGTTTTTGTTTACATAATATATGAGTGTGTGCTGTGTATATTTATTATGTATATATAAATACACACACATGCATGTATATATTTAAGAAAAATATATTGTTTATATAATATATTTATATATAATACAAATTATATGAATATAAATATATATATGTGTTTGTCTTTATATATACATAATAAATATGCATAGTACACATACATATGTAAACAAAAACTTATTTTGGATGCGATTAATCATTTAACAGCACTATTGACTACGTTTACATGGACAACAGTAATCTAATTATTTATCTTATTCTGAATAAGCCAATATTATGATTAAGGTGTTTACATGAGTAAATGTTAGAATATTCCTTTCATGTTCTCGTTTTAAATGCTATAGTACATAGATCGATTAATGGCACACGTCATTACGTCACCACGCGACGCCATCCGACGTCCAACCCAGAATTTCATGTATAAACATATAGTTCGTCTTCGTTATGATGCCATATACAGCTTTGGGTGTTTAATTGTTAATTTACTGAAAGCTTCAAGTGCAGTTAATTACTTGTCATGCTATACGTGCAAACAGACGACGGCATTGTTGAAGCCATGCTCAAACGGTTGACTGTCGCAAAATGCAGTGAAAAGTCCTACGCGATGGTAATAGTATGATTAGGGTGTTTACATGTCTATACTGCACTTCAATAATGCAATTAAATAGGAATACTCCACGTCTTAATTTGATTTGTGTTTACTTCGACTATAACTGTAGCCGGATTAAGGTAATCAAAAATCCCTGTTTAGATGGTAGATTAATCGTGTTAAAATCAGAATATTGTTGTCCATGTAAACGTACTCATTGCTATTGTTAACTAAATCTAATGAAATGTTGTAAAATGAAGCAAAGTTGAAATAAAATAAAATATAATATTAGCTAAAAAAATTAAAATAAATGGAAATTAGAAATGCATTGGCAACTACCTGAAATAAATGACACGCACCAATAGTTTTACATATACACACTAAGCTGACATACCAAAATTACTGAAACTGAAAACTAAAACAGAAATAGATATAAATTCTAATTTGTTTAAAAAAATAAATAAATAAAAATGTTAATTAAAAATGAACAAATTAAATGTAAATATTAAAATAAAAGCTAATTCTAAATGAATTATTAATTCAATACTATTTAATTATTACAAATATAGAAAATTATTTATAAAACATAATAATTAAATAATACTAATAAGCAGCAAACACGGTTTTACAGTATATTTGTTAAGTGAGTGTTTCACTCAAATGAAAAATTATTAATAGAATTTCCAAAGATGTGAACTCATAAAAGTTTAAGTCAGCATGAAATGTAAAATTACTCTATATTCCAAATTCATGTGCATTTCTGTTTCTTTTCTTTTTGTATGTTATATATATATAATGTCTATATTTCACTATTATTTACTATTTTTACTATCTTTAATTACTAAAATGAAAAAGGAATTGTCCCTAGCTCAATTTAATAGTCAAAATTCTATAAAAGTATTTTTGTTTTTACATACTACCTAACAGTACTTATTTTAAACATACTTAATTTTAGAAGTTTTTGAAGTACAAATATACTATTCAGTTTCTGTCCATCTATCTTAGTTCAGAGTTTCACAAACTAGGGTTTGTGAGTTGATAAATAAAAGCTAGTTATTAGCTAAATTTAAAAAAAAAACACAACTAAAATGATTCCAGCTTTTCAGGAACAAGTTATTGTTTTACATTAATAGCAATTTAGCATAACAAACCAGTTCCATCTAACCTCACCTATTATTATTATTAATTACAGTTCATTATGTATAAAAGTACCCTTCCACATCCACGTTCTCCTCCTTCATTTGAGCGTCTGGGACCAGCAGCATCAGCACTGAATGATAGCGAATGCTCGGCCCTTCAAAGCGTCTCTTCTTATGAACCTGCTTCTTCTTATCGGCCTCTAAACGCTCATAGTTTTCTGAAAACACACACACTGTAATGTGAACACACACTCATAATTAAATTCTGGTGTTATTCCTGAAATCTGGAAATCAGCTTTTGTTGTTCCTTTATTAAAAGGGGGTCAGATCCTACTATATTAGATAATTACAGACCAATCTTCAAAGCTGTGTGTTTTATCAATTTTTTTTTAGAAAGCCTTATTAGTGAACAGTTGACTTGTTATTTGAATGCAAACAAAGTGTTTTCATAAAAAACATAGTACTGTAACAGCTGTTTTGAAAGTTTTAAATGATATTGTGGGATCGATTGATAATGGTGATTTTTGTGCTTCCCTTTTTATTGATTTATCAAAGGCTTTCGATACAGTGGATCATGAAATATTGTTGCATAGATTGAAGAGTGTTGGTTTATCAAATCTTGTTATTCCTTGGTTTAAAAATTATTTGAGTGGAAGAACTCAATGTGTACAGGCTGAAGGTAAACTATCTGAATCATTGGAGACTGCCAAAGGTGTTCCCCAAGGATCTGTGCTGGGGCCTCTTTTATTTACCATTTACAGTGGGTACGGAAAGTATTCAGACCCCCTTAAATTTTTCACTCTTTGTTATATTGCAGCCATTTGCTAAAATCATTTAAGTTAATTTTTTTTCCTCATTAATGTACACACAGCACCCCATATTGACAGAATAGCAAATGGCTGCAATATAACAAAGAGTGAAAAATTTAAGGGGGTCTGAATACTTTCCGTACCCACTGTATATAAATAGTCTTGATTGTGGCATTCAGGATGCCAAATTTCATTTTTATGCAGATGATTCTGTCATGTATTGCAGTGCTTCTTCTAGACAGCAAGCCTTGTATAAGCTTCAGTCAACTTTTGATGTTCCCCAAGGATCTGTGCTGGGGCCTCTTTTATTTACCATTTATATAAATAGTCTTGATTATGGCATTCAGGATGCCAAATTTCATTTTTATGCCGATGATTCTGTTATGTATTGCAGTGCTTCTTCTGGACAGCAAGCCTTGTATAAGCTTCAGTCAACTTTTGATGTCATTCAATTACGGCTTTACAATTTAAAACTGATAAAACCAAGTACATGTTATTTTCAAGTTCAAAGAAATTTGAAAATAATTTAATCTCTCTTCAAACTTTACAAGGTTCTGTGATTGAATTAGTAAAAGAGTATAAATATCTTGGCATCATTATAGACGATATATTCTGGCTCTCATATTACCGAATTGAAGAAAAAAACGGAAAATTAAGCTTGGGTTTTATTTTAGGAACAAGATTTGTCTTTCATTTAATGCAAGAAAGAAATTGGTTTCTGCTACTTTTTTTATCTGTACTTGATTATGGTGACGTAGTGTATCAATTCGCACCATCATATCTTCTTTATTCTTTAGATGCTGTTTATCATGGCGCTCTAAGATTGGTAACCGCAAGCAGAAGAACAGCGAATGCCATGAGTTGCGCACTTGAAAACAAAGCCCACTAGACAGTGACCAAGTGCTGAGGAGTATACTTTAAAGGCTTGCACACTCAACTGTCTGCGAAATGGAGCTTTGTGCTTGTGCATCCTACCTCTTATTCGGCACAAATCCAAATACTCCATAATATTTCCATATTTGCGATGTATTTGAATGCTAAAATATTATTTATTATGTAAATTATAGGCTTTGCACTTCAGTCGCGCTTAAACGGTGACACAGAGGTGGGCGCGCTGATGTTCGGTTCACTGTATTTATTTTACACTGTTTATTTTGATAAAGTACCAACTGCGTTGTCGAGTTAACAATGCTGAAACTGGTATATGAGTGTGCATGTGTGTATGAGTGTGCGTGTGCGTATATGAGTGTGCGTGTGTGTATGAGTGTGCGTATATGAGTGTGCGTATATGAGTGTGCGTGTGTATGAGTGTGCGTGTGTATATATGAGTGTGTGTGTCAGTGTGCATGCGTGTGTGAGTGTGCGTGTGCATATGAGTGTGTATGTGTGTATGAGTGTGCGTGTGTGTATATGAGTGTGCGTGTGCGTATATGAGTGTGCGTGTGTGTGTGTGTATGAGTGTGCGTGTGTATATATGAGTGTGTGTGTGACGTGACATGTGGCCAAGTATATATATGAGTGTGTGTGTATGAGTGTGCGTGTGTGTATATGAGTATGTGTGTGTGTGTGTATATGAGTGTGCATGCGTGTGTGAGTGTGCGTGTGCGTATATGAGTGTGCGTGTGTGTATGAGTGTGCGTATATGAGTGTGCGTATATGAGTGTGCGTGTGTATGAGTGTGCGTGTGTATATATGAGTGTGTGTGTTGGTGTATGTATATGTGTGTGTGTGTGTGTGTGTGTGTGTGTGTGTGTGTGTGTGTGTGTGTGTGTGTGTGTGTGTGTGTGTATATGAGTGTGCGTGTGTGTATATGAGTGTGCGTGTGTGTGTATATGAGTGTGCGTGTGTGTATGAGTGTGTTTTGAAAATCTAAAAATGTTTAAAAAAGTTTTCTGTGCGGGGTAGGTTTAGGGGTAGGGTTGGTGTAGGGCAATAGAATATATGGTCTGTACAGTAGAAAAACCATTACGCCTATGGAGAGTCCCCACAATCACAAAAACAAACCTGTGTGTGTGTGTGTGTGTGTGTGTGAGCGTGGGTGTGTGTGTGTGTGTGTGTGTGTGTGTGTGTGTGTGTGTGAGAGCGTGTGTGTGTGTGAGTGTGTGTGAGAGAGAGTGTGTGTGTGTGTCTGTGTGTGTCTGTGAGTGTGTGTGTGTGT